TGTTAGCTCCCTAGAACAACAGGTCGCACTGAATAATTTGTGTTGGCTTGTGCACGTGTTATGTATGCCTGGTCACCGCTTATCTAGGAGGGCTTTGTTTAGTCTGCCAGGTGTAGGGTGGCGCAAAGCCTCGAGGTGGACAGAAGTTGACTTGGCAGCGGGAGTTGAAGTCACTGACGATCAAACTGGGTGCCGTTGGTCCGTCTCGGCTTCCAGGCTGGAGTCCACCTGACTCGCCTTGTGCTTGGCTCGAGACTTTACAGGATATGGCTCGCAGTAGACACCAGTGGCGCGTCTGCTACCATCTCCTAATCGGAATGTCTGTTTAAAGTGTGTTTGGTGCTGTTATCTGCGGGGTAATGGCTGATTATGACCCGTGGCAGTGAAAGCCGCAAAGAAGCTGTCTCGCCGATGCTGACTTATCTTTGCACGATAGCCAGCTGTTTGTGATGGTATGGTGTCTACACAAGGTGTAGACGCCTTGACCCTGATTGTTTGCTTAGGGCATTAAGGTTTTCTCCTTCTCTCCCACTTCTTATTCTTTATTTCATAGATCATGATAGTTGTATGGCAGCGAAGCATCAGTTCAAATGGCTGATGTACTGCCGTTGATGATGATGATGATGATACTGTCCGTTCTTCTATACGGCAGCGAAAGGTAGACGATGTACCGGCGGAATGTGCGATATCTCGAGAGGTTCCATCAACAGTGTTTGCAACGGATTCTGAGCATCGGTTGGTGCGACTGAGTTGCAGCCACGGAGGTGCTGCGCCGAAGTGGAATGTATGCAGTGGGCTGCATACTTCTGCTGAGACACTTTGGGTGGCTAGGCCATGTGTGGCGTATGGATTCCACACGGATACCGGAACAACTATTATATGGTCAGTTGAGTGTGGAGAAGCGGCATGTGGGGAAACCGAAGCTTCGTTATCAGGACATGATCAAAATGAGCTTCTCACGTTCTACTCTTGATTGCACGTCATGGGAATCGAAGGCGGTTGATCGGCGTGCATGGCGCGATCCGATCACGAATACCGTTGCCGAGGTGCAAGAGAAAGCTCTCGTGCAAGCAGAGAATAAGCGGAAATTGCGGAAGCCACAGTCGCCGGTGGGCTCTACTCCATTGACGTCGAGCGCATGGTGGCGTAGCACATGCGGTCGCGAGTGCCTGAATCAGGCAGGCCTAGTGAGTCACGACCGAGGCCACTCGCGACCAACATCGTAACGCCGTATCCTGCTGGGAACGTCAGCAGAACCGGCGCGCCATTGGTAGGTACACTGCAATCGATTTACTAACCGCGTGTTTGCGTGCTGAATTCCTTTACTTCAGATGGTGAGTTTCCTATCGTGCCTCAGTGCATATCATATTTTTTACTTCATCTTAACGTTTATCTGCAGTCGCACACGTTGTTTAAGCTAATTATTAAAAGGTTGGCTAGCATTTTCGCGCTTGTGGGATCACTTGTTAAAATATAGTTTCTATAATATTGCACTTATCGCAGATTAGTTGGTAACCAATTTAGTACATATGCTCACAGCGTAGATTTAAGTCAGCATTTCCGCATGCTACATTGGATATATATTATTCTCATTTCAAGTGATTGGTTGTTCTTTGGCATCATCGGTGTGGGTGCACATGGTTTGCATGTTGACAAGGTGCCTACCTGTCTATTACCCACTACCTCATCCATACTGGCTCCAGGAAACAGTTGGTCGTTGCTGGAGGGGACGGGGTGCACGGTCCTTGTGGTTGTGCTAGGCTCGAAGAGTGGTTCCATACACTCAGATTGGAGCGGACTATAATCCAGCCACCGCCGTGAGCGAATGATTCCTAAAAACAGCGTGCTTGTGTTTATCTGATGAAACGTGGCTCCCATCCGCATGCCTCCCGGCCTTATTCCTTCGGGTTTTCACTGGATATGGGGTGAGTGGATGGAGCTGGGGGTGGTGCAGCGCAAGCCACCCATGGTCATCTTTATAGGCGCAGGCGTTCTGTGGCTGTCCCTGTGGAAGCCACAGTGACAGGCAAATCCGGAACCGGATGCCGCCAACCATGTGTAGTTTGTGCTTCTGTGTCGCTGCGTTCTTGACTGTTTGACAGCGCCGGCAATGTGAGAATATCATGCAGCCATTTCCCCTCAAAAATTTTAAGAGAGCAAGTACGAACAGCATTTTTACGGGATAATCTGAATTCAGATTATTTCGAATCTTCTCATTCAGCCGCTTACAGACAATTCGTGGAAGGAGTAAAGGAATGCAAATGAAAAAGGGTCAATAAGAAAATCAATAAAACACTAAGAAAATCAAGGTCATCGCCCGCGTCTTACCAGGGCAAGGCAAGACTGGCCACTAGGTCTACCTGTTTGCAAAGTTTTGGTTCCATTCGTCGGATGGCAGAGGCTTCAATTGCATTCCTTTACTTCTTCCACGAATTGTCTGTAAACGGCTGAATGAGAAGACACGAAATAATCTAAATTCAGGTTATCCCGTAAAAATGCTGTTCGTTCTTACTCTCTTAAAATGTGAGAATAGACGATTGATGTTCGTGGTTTAAATAGGATTATCCAGATATCCACGGAGCAGTGACTCTGGTTTGTGGCGAATCACAACCGCCACGTCGCAGTGTTGATAAACAGACATGTGGCTTTGTAAGGGGAGAACGCTTACCAGGCGGAAAGCCACTCCGATCTGGAACACTACCGCCGAACGGTTGAAACGGGTTAAGTACGAACCACTCAACTGGAACCAGGAGGTTGTTCGGCTAGCCACGAGGCCAACAAGTGCCAGTTTGTCACTCCGACGTAACGACCCACAAACTGCAGCGCTGACTCCGTGAACGATCACTTCCACCGTCAACTGAACGAGCCCCTTCGTCACAGAAGAAGTACGGATACTGTAGTATTGGCTGGAGATCTGAACATTACATTTAAGTTGCCAACACGGTGGAGCCTCCAGTTATGATAACGGTGAATGGTTGATACACCTGTGTGAATGCACTCGACACTTCTCACGAGCACTAACTTCCGGCACAGCACCCGTACACGCTTAACACTGCACCCACCAGCTTCAGGCCAAGCATAGACGCAAACAGATAATACCGCGATCGGTTACCGTTAGAGAGGCTGTGACCAAAACTATCGATTAATTTGGAGTGTGAGTGTGGACTCCAATCATGCACTCGTATGTGCCGACCTTCAGGTGTGTTTTGGTGGATCTCCGCAACGTCACTGTGAGCGCACAGATACTTGCCAACGGGCGAAACCGGATGTTCTAAGTGCGTATCAAAGTATACTGGCAAGCGGATTGAGTAATCGCCCACTGAACAGTTGAAATTCTTGAGCGCATGTTCATAGGATATTAGTAGCAGCGAGTATGTATTCATGGGGCAAATCCAATCGTCTAAGTGGACAATGAGTCACTCGAACTTCTGGCTAGGAGTGCACACAAGGAGACTTATAAAAATCTCAGAGCAATACTACGTGTTAGCTTGAAGAGAGACCGCAAAGGTTGGTTACCCATCGTGCATTGCAGATGGAAATGGCCACTGCCCTTAGTAAATATCCGGTTACAGGAAATAGGCTGCAGGAGACATGGTGTTAGCGAGACTATATGCGACGGGAATGGTCAAAAAATGGGAGCATTGAGCTGATCACTTAGGGAAGAAATTAAATAGGCCGGAACTAATAGATTCGTTAGCGACCAGTGACTACTCTGCGCCCTGGGCCGTCTCTCTGGATCCACGCTATCGCACAGAAGTCGAACATGAAGTCGACCTGCTGAAGCTGAATGAGGCCGCAGGAGCAATGTTGTGCGCAGTCCATTTGTTCGTTTATTTTGCGGTTTGCACTGATTGCGTCGTTTTTCTTATCGCTCCTACATGCCGTAAACCTTCCGCCAAATCAACTGATCACAACGAGAAAAGCGTCTGAAGATTCCCGAAGTGAACGACGAGTTAAACCCGAAAGCCGAAGTTTCTTCGTGGAACGATAGTTGTTTTGGCGCTGAAGGGGTGCAGCGGGGTGATGGGCTACTCTCAAGCGCACCGTCTGATGTCCTGTTGGTACTTTGCTGAACTAGAAAATTTGGTCAGCAGTGAGACAAGTCAGCTCCCATTGCTAGCCGTGATGCACCTCATCCTGCGACTAGTTCAAGATGAAAATACAGGCGGCACAATGCACCTCGAATTTCGACGAACCCCGTTTCCACAGGAACATTCGCAATTTTACGCGGCAGGATTTTGCTTCACGAACTTAGACACGTAGCATTATTGATATCGAAGGCCTCTGTTGTTCAACCTTTCATTATTTCGCCCGATAGCCGGCTGCTTGTGATGGTATGGTTTTCATGAAATGTAGACGCCTTGACAAGAAATGTTTGCTTATGGAAGTAAAGTTTTATCCTAGGTCCCCTTTCTCTCTCTTACTGTTTTTCGTTCTGTCAGTCAACCTGGTTGCAAGGCAACGAAGCATCGGTTCATATTGCTGATGTTATGTTGCTGCTTCGGATGATGACGATGATTGTTCAGCTTACAAGATGTACCTTTGTATCCCGCCAAAATAGAATTCTTTTCTTTTATGTACAATTGTTATTACTGATCAATTGAACACCATTCGGTCTTGTTTTACTGCTCCATACATTACGGCCATGTTGGCCTAAATCCGACTCACCACTCATCTGCAAGCAGTTACAGCGCTGAAGCTCGCTCCCGTTCTCTTCACCAACCCAGTTCCTGTAGCTTATAACAAATACAGTGCTGTATATCCGACATTCATGTCTTCTAGTATCCGCGCTCGATCACGCACACCGTCGCGTAGTAGTATATTTTAGTCCTATAGGTGAACGCACACTAGGATATTGTAGTAAATCAAATAGTGCCTGACGAAATAAACGCGGATAAATAGTTTAAGACTGGCCGATTGATAGCTATCGACGCAAGACAATTAAACAAGCGACCAGTTGGCATGCGAACTTAAAGAGGATCATAAGCTACTGCACTTACCAAACGAGATGTGCTGTTTGTAGTAAGCTGGTGATCGGCGGACGTATCCCATGATGGAGTGATCTAAATGCGTCAATAAATCCTCTGATGAGGCAGCGGAGTACTCGTACAAGCGCCCCTCTAAAGGGTCCGCAATGAATAATGGGCTAGAAGCAAAGAACAGTAAAGACGCGAGTGGACTTACCCCCCACTATAAGAAACGGACAATGCAGGATCTAAAGTCAAACCATAGAAAACAAAATGGAGGTCTTACCGAGTGGTTTAGTCCATTTCACTGCACCTGTTTTGCGATTAACTAGGTGCAACTCTCCGTTTAAAGTATGTACGAGAATATAGGAAGTGTTTAAAACCTCATAAAGCATATGGAATGTAGATAATTATGGTTACCTGGCCACCAGAGTAGGCCACAACTGTGGAATACGGCCAGTAGAGCAAGAATAGACGCACAAGTAAAGCAAAAATATAGAGAGCTGAAATCTTGAACCCGCGATACATCATGGAGTGGCGTACGCTGAACTGTTAAAGGCATATATAGGCATGCTTAAACAGTGCCGCAATACAGTCAGGAAGAATGTATCCAATATTATCATTTTCGGAGAGCTAGGGAGGGGATGAATAAGATGATGACTACTAATGTGATGTAAAACATAAATATAAATATCTGACGCAAGTCGTGCTTTTTTGTTGAAACACTTTAGCTAGAAATAGCCGGAACTAGGAACCAAAAAGCCGTACGCACAGTTTGTCGACAGGCCATGCAATCAGTACACAATTGAGTTTTGCATGGTATAGTAATTGGAAACTTGGTTGTAATGTTGTGTAAACGCTATGTGGCCAGGTAATTTAAGCTTGGACAACTTTGTACTAAAAAATGAGACCCGAACATTTAGATAATTGGGACTAAATCCAAAGCAAATGAATTTTCGATATTAGTCGACCCAAACGCCAAGCTGCATTGCAATTTTGCTCTTGTTTGGTCACTCAAAGTAATGGTCGGGGATAGGGGCATAATGACTCAGTGTATGCGTTAACCATCAAACCATTAGTTCACCTCAATTGAACAACTATGATCCGAACATTGAAATGCGCTGAGATCAGCTGACGTGACTTATGTTATCAGATTGGTAACATATAACAAAGTTAGCTAAATGAGATGAAACGCAAAGAGATTGCAAAAATGTAATCCAGAAAATGTGCGTAAAACCAATCGAGATGAAATGAAAATCATTTAGATGCAAGAAAGCAAATGCAGGCATTTCACTGATTGAGTAATTGTGCTAAGTCCGATGGAGTCCCCAACCACTGATGCGGATCATTCCATGCCCCTATCCCCGAAGACGGCACACGCATCAGCCTGACCAAGTCTCTGCATAAATCTCTTCATCCCATTATACCACGTCATCAACTGGTCGCGTGTTTTCGCCGAACTTAGTGCCGCCACGGCGTATAATACATGCTGGTCAACGGGTAGCATGACCTAGACAACGTCCGCTGCTGAGTCTTAACGAGCACTTGAGCGAAGCATCAAAAAGACCCCCATCAAAAACAATCTGTAGGGCCCCAGCATTGCTCACTCGGTATACCCACCAGATGTGCGTAACACTCTGCAAGTACCGGTGACCAAATAAGGCCAATCGTTTGATGTCTCCATTGCGAACGGACTACGTATCTGACCCATATAGTAACTCCAGTCTTAAGCCAGCGGTTTGCACTCGACCTTTCACTGACAGGTTGATATCCAGTGGCCTTCATTGATCGCTGAGCTTCTGGAAAGCCACAAAGGCCTTGATGATGCGCAAAGTAACGTAATGATGTGATCACCAGAGGCGACACAGCTACCAAGGTGATGTTCAGTGGCAGTCAGAACGGATGGCTAATTGGACCATTCATTCAATGGCACTTTGCACTTTGAATATGCAAAGCACATGCCCAAGCGAGCAATGCTACGCACCAGTCTGTCAAGTCGTGCTTGCAGCCACTCCCTCAGACACAAGGAAAGCTGTAGTTCGCATACTCAAGGTTTGAAAGCCGTCAGTTTGTAGAGATTTCACAATGATGAACCTGAGTGGACAGAACTATTTGCGGTCATTGCAACCATAGTCTATTGAAATGCACAATCCCGATAACCGAAAATCGATGAACTACAAAGCCCCACAAATCTTCGAATTTACTGTCGAGAGTATTAATTTCAAGGAAGCTATACATGCACTAAAAAGTCTTTATAGCAGGCTCAAAAAGTGATATTTCTTGCGTTCCACTTTAGCTAGGTGTGAAGCAGAAAATGGATCTACCATGGACCAATTCACTCAGAGGCTCAAAGTAGTCGTGTTTTTAGACATCAAACGTGTTTTCGATTCGGTGGATCGATGTGCATTTTGGGACTATCTGATGAGGAAAGGTGTGTCCGGTAAATATGTAAGTCATAAGAGCGCTTTATGCGATAGTTTGGGTAGAACGGTTTATGGCAAACACTCACTGCTGTTTGATAAATCCAACGGTGTGAACAAAGGCTGCTGCTGTAAGCTTTTCTCTTTAATTTCGCCATTGATGAAGTAATGGAAACGGCATTCGCTGGATACAAATAAGGTGTGGAGCTGCTCCCAGGTGAACGACTTCTTGACTTGAGGTATGCCGAAAACATTTCCTTCAACTGTAACAGCTCCCTAACGTGTCAAACAGCACTGGGCTGGTTAGAATTGGATGACAATTTTTGGCTATGCTTTACACACAGAGTGCAAAGCTTTCATCCAAAATTGGTAGGAACCCACCTCTACGCTGACCAATGGTACTGATAAGCTAGCAGTCGTTCAGAAATAAAGTACGTAAGAGGTATAGCGTATGTGGAATAGAAGATCAGAGCACTATAACAAAAGCTCGAGGTGTTATTGCCAATCACCGCTATCCGTGAAGCCAGCGCGAGATCACTCTTGCCCGGAAGGGCAGAGTTTACTATGTAGCCGTAGGTTCAACCCTCTAGTGCGGTTGTGAAACCTGGCTCATCAGGTTAATAGACATAAAGAGGCTAGCTCCATTCGACCAACGTTACCTTCACAGTTTAGCTCATAAGTTCAAGTTCAAGTGGGACTGGAAAGATTAGAGGACTCTGAGTGTTCCTACTTCAGCGTGTCGTTTAATTAGGAGTTGACGAAGAGCCTCGGAGGGTATATGGATCTAAAACAAAGACCGCACCCCACACTGATCAACCAATTATTACCAACGTATTCTGCAATAGCAGTCCCTGCTGAGCCGGTTACATGAAGTGAGGGAACAATTTAATAAGGTAAGAGGAATGTAGCTAAATAGTTATGATCATCATTATCATACACGTTAGCTAGAGGTGGAAAACACCTCGGCTATTGTGCCGCAATACACTGAGAAAAAAGGAATACAACAAAGGCACGCCAGCAGAGTCATTGGAAACGGATGTACATCGTTCTGGAGAGCAAATAGTCGGCTGTTGTGCCACAAAAACAAGTATTATATTATGCATATGAGTTGAGATCGTGGTTGGAGGGTGAGGGAAAAGGAAACTTACAAAACGAAGCCGATTGAAGTCGGTTCCTAGCCATATCAACAAGTGTATCCAGCCAAACGTGTTGATCATTTTTCGGACCCCAAGCAGGGGGCCGAGAGGCTCCAACCGACGCCAACTTCGAACTAAGGGCCTTCATTCCTCTGGACTAAGTCAAAGCATGGCCACCTCTCCTCTTCTTCCAACCATACCCCCGGCGCGCAAAGAACGCGTCGCGGGTGTCGGCATGCGCAACACGTGGCCCAGTCATCGGAGACTGGTGCGTGATATAACGGTGCTGAGTGGCTCACTTCTTCTCCCTGTGCCCTAAACGAGGCGTCTAACACGCTCATTGCTCACCTGGTGTTCTCATCAGATATGAGCCGAACTTCGAAGGCACCGGATGTCGAACGTCACTAGCCTCTTTGCGTCTGCCGATTTAATGGGTTAATTTTCACAACCGTACAGTAGGGTCGAACGTATGGCTGTATTGCACACAGTACCCTTCAGGGAGATGTTGATGTTGCGCAGGCGCCATAAGTGACGAAAGTTAGTGAAAGCGCCCCGAACTTTTATCATACGGTTTGTGATGTCGGCTTCAATTCCAACGGCGCTGATACAAGTACCCAGGTAGTTGAATCGCTGAACGACTTCTAGCTGATTCCCACCAAGGATCAGCGCAGAGTGAGGTATTATGGCAAACTGTCGCCACCCTTCAGTATCACCAGCGAAGTGAGACAAGGTTGCCTGCTGCCACCTTTCCTCTTCAACTTCACTATTGAGGAAGTCATGGAAACAGCGTTCGCTGGACACGACCTAGGTGTGGAGCAACTTCCTGGTGAGACTTCTTGACTTAGAATATGCGGACGATATTGCCCTTATCTGTGACAGCTCCCAAACATGCCAAGCAGCACTGGATCGATTAGCACTGGCTGTCAATCGTTTTGGGTTATGCTTTGCTCCATCGAAATGCAAACTACTTCCCCAAGATTGGCAGGGACCCAACACTGCGCTAACACTTTGTGGTGATCTGCTAGAAGTCGTTCAGGAATTCAAGTACCTGGGCAGCTATAGTAGCACCCGTGGAATTGAAGATGAAGTTACGAACCGTATAGTAAAAGCTCGAAGTGCTTTCGCCAATCTCCGCCACCTGTGGCACAGACGCGACATTACTCTCGACCTGAAGGGCAGAGTTTACAACGCAGCCGTCCGTTCAACTCTCCTATCTGGCTGTGAAACCTGGCCCATCAGGTCGACAGACATGAAGAGGCTCGTCATATTCGATCATCGCTGCCTTCGCAGCTTAGCTCATGTCTGCTGGGAGCACCGCGTGAGCAATGGGCGTGTTCGACGTCGCGTATTTGGTGCAGGAAGAGCAAGTGAACCGCTCAGCACCATTATATCACGCACCAGGCTCCGATGGCTGGGCCACGTGTTGCGCATGCCAGCACACCAACTCCCGCGACGTGCATTGTTTGCGCGTTGTGGGTGCGGTTGGAAGAGGAGGAGGGGAGGCCAAGAGATGACTTGGTCGAGAGAGATGAAAACCCTCACTTCGAAGTTGGCATCGGTTGGTGCATCCCGACTGCCTGGCTGGGATCCTAAGGACGGTGAACACGTTTGGTTGGACACACTTGCTGATATGGCTTGGAGCCGGCCCCAATGGCGTTTGTGTTGTGAGTTCCTTTGTCCACCCCCCTCCTGCTTAGCATCCCCCTCTAATCACGATCTTACTCGTTAGGCATAATATATCTTTTTTATGGCACGATAGTTAGCTGTTAGCTCTCCGGAACGATGTCCATCCGTTACTGGGAACTCAGCCGGCGTGCCACTGTTTGTTTTCCTTTTATTGTCTTTTGTAATGCGGCACAATAGCTGAGGTGTTTTCCACCTTCAGCCAACGTGTATAATGATGATGATGAGCGCAGGATGCAGTCCCTGCCAATCTTGGAGGAAAATTTGCACTTTGAGGGGACAAAGCATAGCC